TTAATTAAAACATTTCAAAAGTTACAAAGGTATATTTGTCCAAACACACATAAATAATCCTCTAGAAAGGATTTATATAATGTAATCCTAATTGTACTTTTTGGCCCTTTTTAGTCCTATTATGGTAATTCACTCGTTGATATATTGTTAATTGAAGTCTAGTTTTTAATCGGGTTTTAAAGCTTACATGCCGTATGTAACTATGTATACCTGTGTCGTATATTACCTTTGTTTTCGAGTCCATATATCTATCCTACATCCGGATGTACACGTACATCCAGCCCAGCTAAGGAAAAAAACCATTAACTAATACGGCCCATAATTAGAGTGAGCATATGACTTATTCTATTGAGTATTAGAAGCCAAACAATGAGTATCGTGATCTCTGCTTCATACGGAGTATCATTTAAGTCACTTATTTTCTCTTATTTTTTCTTTTATAAAAACTTATTAAAATATATCTAAAATCAACTCCTATGAATTGAATTTCAATATGTGAATTTAATGTAATATGACATTTTTTAATATGTATTGATATGACATTTTACATATGAGCATAAAATCAGTCTCAAATGAGCATATGTAACTTACACAATGCGCATTGATATGAAAATCGTAAGGTTTGTTAGTTGAACATCACTACATTTCTATTGAGCATCAAACTTCCTATATTGAGATGAAAATCATGATTTTCGTTAATTAAATGAACATTAATGAGCTTTTACTGAGCATCAGACCAATTCTATTGAATAACATGGTTCTATTAAAATATCCATTGATATGACATTTTAAAAATGAGCATAACATCAATACCATATGAGCATACCTATCTTACCAAATGCACATTGATATGAAAATCGTAAGGTTTGTAAGTAATTAACATCACGACATTTTCATTGATCATTAAACCTCCTCTATTGAGATGAAAATCACGATTTTTGTTAATGAGCATTAATGCACTTTTAATGAGCATGATAACTATTGTTTTGAACGTTAGTTTAATAAACATTGATATGACATTTTAAAATGAGCATAACAACAGTCCTGAATGGGTTTACATAAATTATAGAATGAACATCGAAAAATTGAAAAGCTCATTTAAAATATCTAATGTGCTCAAATATTCATTTCTGTAACAATGAGAAATACAATTAATTCTAGTTTCAAAATAATCTACAATTTGTCATTCTTTTTATAATGTTCACTCATGCACATTTATTTTTTACAATATGTTCATTTCAGTACAACACAAAACTCATGTTAATATTGAGTACACAATATTAAAATAAATAACACACAAAATTTATTAAATTAAAAAATATTCTTCTAAAGATTAGAATAGGACAAAACATTGATACCTAAAATATTTTATAATGCACAATTTAAAGAAATACTGAAGTTATAAAGGAGGGTTAATTAGAAAAAGAAAAAAGAAAACAGGGACGTTGTACATTTTATTTTGCACATGGTTATAAATTAAAGTTAATGGAAAAAGTTGTTAAGAAAAAAGAAAGAATACGCATGTAAGAAAAAATACGCATATATATAAAAGTTGTTAAGAAAAAGAAAAAGAAAGAATATGCAGGCACGCAGGGAAAAGATAGGAAGAATAAGCAGCCAACAACTAAATTGCCATTCAAAGTATGATTGTATGAAGAATTATAAAAATATATGGGTGTACAAATACACCTGAGTGTACAGTATAACTCACGCTTTGTTGCCTTTTTGGATATATTTAGTTGTATAAATAATAATACTTTTCAATTTTTGATTTGTCAAAACACTTTATTGATTCGCCTAGCGAAAGACTTGTGCGCATATACTTCGTACTAAATTTGAAAATAAATGATACGTAGTAGTTACAATGTGAAATTTAATGTAAAAGTGTTTAAATCTTAATCTTATAATAAATATAAAATCTTATAAACACCAATGATGATTAGGGCATTTAAGGTATGAAAAAAATGTTAGTGTAAAACTAAAGCAACATGTAGTTGTACAATTTGTTATACTCATTGTACATTTAATTAGTTGCCTCCGTTAACATCTAACCATTTTGCTTTTAACTCTCCGTTAACATCTAACCATTTGCTTATCATTAACTGAAGCTTAATACACCTTTATGATAATTAGTGTGCTTTTGGATTGATAAAGTAAGAATAAAGTAATAATGATTTAGAACCTTACAAACTTTACCAAATTTGGTATGGAACAATCTTAGTAGGACAGACCGAAAAGGTAAAATGGGACAATCTTAGTGGAACGAAGGGAGTAATTAATATTATGCATAAGAGGTTATCTTTTTAGTGTAAAATCCAAGATCTATAGTGAGACCCTTATAAAATAAAGGGAAAATGGAAACTAATAATCCAACCTTTTAGCGGCCTTCTTACATCAGTCCCACCTTTTGATTATTCATGAATAATCCAACCTTTGCACCCCATCTTCATTCATTGGTCCTTGGCCGGTTTATGACCTGTTATTCCAAGTTATTTTCTTATATTTACAAAACATTATGTGATCATAAGGTGGGAATTATGGCATAACGTTTTACAAAGATAAGAAAATAAATTGGAATAACATGTCATAAATCGGTCAGAGACCAGTGAATGAAGATGGAGTGCAAAGGTTGAATTATTCATGAATAATCAAAAGGTGGGACTATTGTAAGAAAATCGCTAAAAGAGTACCTTGGTATTGTAGAATAATGACAATATAATAAGGATGAATGGGCGGAAAAGGAATATGACAAATCTCTGATTGTTGCTAATCCCGTAAAGTGGATCACTTCCCACACTTAAAATCTTATCTTGGTAAAAGCGTTTTTAATTTGAATGGTCGCACAATAAGCGTTTCGCCTCACCTAAAATGATTTCCTTCTGTGAACTATGCTGAGAAATTGAGGATGTATGATCAATCAGTTAAAGACGACTTTTTGTAGGTAATAACATATACTATCCTCCGTATCACATTAGTTGCAACAATGAAATATATACACTATTCATGTACTCTACTTTGACTACATTTTATTTCTTAATGTATGTGAATTATTTTTTTTTTAAAAATATTGTTAAATTCGTCTCATTACTAAGTTTTATAATCTGGTTTTTATTTTATTTTTACTAATACGAAATTAAATATAATGACGGTCAAAGTTGTATGTTGACAAACGTGAAAAAGAGAATGTTGCAACTAAAAAGAGACGGAGGAAGTATATATCTATCTTCATTGTCACTGTTTTTAAAGAATGCATCTGTAGATTTTCTTTCATGTCCATAAAACTCAATTCTAATTTTTTACTACATGAATGATAAAATCAATTTATCATCGATTTAGAAAAGTTGAGAAAATCAATGATAACCAAAACAAACAAGGGAAGACTACATCATTCTCAACAAAATATGGAAACTATTTTGAATATATATTATCAAAATCATTATTTTCCTAGGCTATGCCAGCAATCGAGTGCCGATAATTGAGAAGAGAGAACATATATGGTCAAAGTAGTAGACCAGAAGAGTGCATCATCTGCCGTTACAAAACCAAAGCTAAAGGCAACGTACGTGTCTTTCAAAAACACTCACTCTTTGCATGCAGCCGCTGCATGCTTTCCTACTCAACACGTTACTCCTTTCAACCCCAAAAACCGCCACGTGCCCCCACTTCCCCCCTATATAAACCTCCGCCAATTCCCATCCCTACAAACAAACACTCCTTACTGAGCTTAATTAAGATCGATCAGCTTCTTAACAATCATGGCGTCCGAGCGATATGGCCAGCAGCAAGACTACACCCAAAGCCCGGAATCCTACGGAGTTGCTAAGGCGGCCACCGCGGCGACGGTGGGCGGCTCTCTCTTGCTGATTTCCGGGCTGACGTTGGCCGGAACCGTGATCGGGCTGGTAGTCGCGACGCCTCTGTTCGTGATCTTCAGCCCGGTTCTCGTGCCCGCGGTGGTGGCGGCATTCCTGCTGATAACGGGTTTCCTGTCATCCGGCGGTTTCGGGTTGGCGGCCATAAGCGTGCTGTCGTGGATGTACCAGTACATGACGGGGAAGCGGCCCCCGGGAGCGGCGCAGCTGGAGTACGCGAAGGGGAGGATCGGGACAACGGCCCGGGAAATGAAGGATAAGGCGTCGGAGAAGTTCGGGCCGCAAAGCGCGGCTGCCTAATAAGAATGAGCTGATGATCAGGTGGTTTGAAGCTAGTGGCCTGGGGTTGGTCAATCTGGATCTAGCTTCTGGTTTAGCGTAAGAAACTGCGGTGCTGAAATAGATCAGATTGGGTTTCTCTGATGGATCTTTGTTCGTGGTTTAGTTATCTGAGTTTATGTAATCTGAACCGTCCTTATTTGATGCGTTGGAAATAAACGTGTTATCGACTCAAAATCTATAATGCATGCATAATCGTACCATATCCTTCATGTTTTCGACTCAAATTTGCTGGTATGGTAAATCTAGACCAGTCTGATCTAGAAATATTCTAAATACGGATTAGAAGGAAACAAAACAAAATACGTATTAGGATGTTTTTACTTGGTCTGGTCTGATTTCTTTATATTTTTGTAACTATCCAAGTCTGGTCTGGTCTTGGATAAATTACAGTCCAATTTAAGTGAGTAAATTTCCCATTAAAAAATAATATTCTAATTAAGTGAGTAAATGAAATTAGGTAACCAAAAAAATTGACTTTACGATCTCTACATTTTGGGACCGAAGTTCTAAAAACTACATAGAACTAAATAGGATTATGGTATGGAAAATTGTATGGTACGTCCCCAAATATAGCATCTACCGGTGCATCCATTTTTTAAATCAATCGGATGATACCACAATGCCGCTTCACGTCCTACTCATCTACATTTAATTTCTCCCATTTTTTAAACCAATCGGATGATACCACAATGCCACTTCACGTCCTACTCATCTACATTTAATTTTTTTGCAGTTTAGTCCTCCCAAAATGAGAAAGTGTAGAAAATTAAAACGGTTCCGTCACTTCAACTATTTTCGTCAATCGCAATTCGCAGGTAACTACCGTGATCTCCCAATCAGTAGTTTGAACGATACGTAAATCTTCAACTCGTAGAAGAAGCAATCTAGAGAGTTCAAACCCAGACCTGAAAGTCTCATCCTCGACACCGTCGCTCTCGGCCCGGCCCTCATCAAGCACTTGGCTTCCTGCAGTGCCCCCGTCCGATTCATAGCTTTGAGGCTGATCAAGGTATGGCAGCTGAGTCAATCTGAAACAGCCGACGACCATATTTTCTCTTACCTTGAATTATTTCTCTATTTTTCTCGTCTCTCTGAAACGTGAAAGGATTGTGATTGACGGCTTGAGGCTCGATAAATTTTACTTACTTGTTAGAAAATTCATTTACTCAATTTTCTCTCTTTGCAAGAAACATAGCTGGAATGTGGAGCTTCTAACTAGATGAGTTGAGTGGTAGTTTTGTTCCTGTTGTATGGTTTTTGTATGATGAAGCTAAACCCAACTCATGTTTTATGAATTCACTTTTCTTTGTTCCTTTTATTAGGTTGGACTCGGGGTTTTTGGTGGTGTGTTAAAAGTTGATGTTGTGACTGCTGCAATAATTGGATTATCTATCCTCATGGTGACTGGAGTTATCACTTGGAAGGAATGCTTAGCTGAATCAGTTGCTTGGGATACTCTTACCTGGTTTGCTGCTCTCATTGCAATGGCTAATTATCTGAACAAATATGGCCTTATCTCCTGGTTTAGTGAAACTGTTGTCAAGGTTGGTTTTCTTTGGTTTCTTCTTCCGGCCTACAGTCCAAATTATTTTGAAGTTCATTTGCTGCGGTTTTTTCCTTTACTGATGGTGATCAAGATATTTTCACTCACCACCATCAGTCCATCCTTGATCTGATTTTTTTGTCTTTATACCCTTATCTGTTCCATACTTCTACTTGTATATTTGTTTTCCTGATGTTTGAGTGTGTTTGTAAACATGTAGGATCAACCCAGAATTTTATATTGCTGCATTAAAGTGAATTGTTTTAAATGGACATTGATGTTTGACCTTTCTGTTTTGGTATTCTCATCTTTTAATCTAACAATGTTTAAAGTTTTTAACAAAACAAAGTTCTGACTGTATCCTTTTGAAGTGCCGTTTCCTTCTTATAATCATAATTGATTATTGACAATCTGACATATAGTGAAATGACAAATTGGCATTAGTTCAAATTGAATCCACTTTCAAAACATAAGCACCTGTTAGGTTAAATATGCGTTTCTTTTTCTTTACCAATACAGTGAATTATTAAATGAAGCGATACATATTGTTTGTGTTAGACCACAGATGTTTCAGTTTGCGATAAGTCATAGGTCTAGTCTTTAAAAGTTGCCGAAAAAGTATCAAAACCAAGTGAAAACAGACAAATCCCTCAAAAAGTAATCAGAATCAACTTAAGTAATTCAATTCAATTTTCCTATTTTCATTATTAAATAACGAACAGACTAAGTTAAATAGACCAAACAGAATATCCAACCAAGTTTTTTTTTCCGGCAATCAAACTGAGCCTAAGTGACATTAAAATAAGGTTATACTCTTGATTCAAAATCCTATAGAACCTCCTTATTTATTATGCTTGTGATCAATCCGTATTCATGATTGTTTTCTGCATAGGAAAGTTAACACGGATGCTTTGACAGGGCATCTCTTTACATGAAAGACTTAATAGATCCGTGGAGACTGCACAATGACTTAAGTTCAAGAGCCAAAGCATTCATAAGGATGCTACTGATTAAAAAACCATATAATTTCATACGTAATAAACAATATAGGTCATATATACATGAAAAAATGGTCAAATAAGGGCATGTACTATACTGAAATCATTACATAAAGTTATCTAAAAAGGTCAAGTTTTGCAATAGGTGGACAAGCAACCTTGGACCCCGGATATTGAAGAAGTTAAATGCTAACATAGATCAAAGCATGGGATGGAAGGTTAATGTGTAGAGTAATTTGGTGTATTTTTATATACGTGATTCCTTATTAATTTAAGCATTTTCATAACAGATCATTTTTAATGGTGATGATGGATATGAGGTCAAATGTGGGAGCTGTCAATACAAAGTCAGACTACACGCAAGCACGTGTTCATGTAGAGCGTGGGATCTAAGTGGGATTCCTTGCCCGCATGTCGTGTATGCAATTTCCTATAAAGGTGATGATGCTGAGCAATATGTGGATCATTGCAATTTCAAACAGGTGTATCAAAGAATATATTCGTATCATCTGCAGCCGATGAATGAGGAGTTATTGTGGACTAGAACACAAAATAATGACATTGTGCCTCCAATTCCCAAAAAGTTGTCTAGCAGACCCAAGAAGAAAAGAACGCGGTAAGCTACTTAAGGGCCATCGAAAGAGAAATAAGAGAGTGAAAAAAGTGTCTGCCAATCCAAGGAAGAAAAAAAGAAGTCCAACTGAATCCCCAACAACCTAATGCAGTCGGTCTTTTGTGCTTCATAGTCCTATTGATGTCATTGTGAAACCCCAAAGTTGTACTGCTTTTTTGTAATTTGTTTAAACTTAGCAGTGCTTGTGAAGCATGTACTTGTGTGGTGTTGTTCTTGGAACATATTCGTAGCTAAACTTATTTTTTAATGTCAGTGTGCTTGCTATTAAGTTTGATTTAGTCAACTTTACAATCACGTATTATGCATGATTTTGTTGTTGTCTTTGTGTGTTCTGAACACAGTTTATGTGCCTGTAATGGCCAAATTTGTAGGCTGTAAATGCAGGAACTTCAAGGGCATATTAAGCCTATAAATGGACAGCAAGTTGAAGCTGTAATTGCAGGAATGTATAGGTCATATTTTAAGCAGTAAATGTAGCAAGTTCAAGGGTATATTAAGGCTCCCTATGCAGCAACTTTTAGCTCTAAATGCAGCAAGTTAAAGGACATACTACCTCCGTCTCGAAAAGGTTTGCCATATTGACTTTTCTTGGTCAATGATGGCAAACTTTGGACAATGATTTTAATTGTTATATTTGTATATAATTTATAAATTTTATACTTTTATTAAAATATTTTGAATAAGGAACATTTTGATATAATTTTCATATTGAGTAAGAAACCCGTGTGTACATTTTAAAATATGAAAAAAGTATGGAGCTAAGAACAAGAAGAGACTAAGAGTTATATTCATATCACAAGAAAGTGTGAACGATTCACTTCTCACCAAAACAAACATACAAGTATCCTACTCACCAAGAGAAGCTTCGATTAAGCTAACTACTAAAACATTTGACTACACTAGACTAGGTCTCTGATAAGGCCGTATTTAGACACGAATTTGATGTGTGTTAAGATTGGCTTTTGATGGTTTTCCTAGCTTTAAGGTGTTACAAGTCTCAATTTTAGCTCAAGTTATGTTTAACAGGCGTTGGTTCGAGTTTTGTGTCATTTGGAGTCAAAATGAGGATTTTAGAGTTCGGTACCGGCGCTTGAGAAGAAATCAGGATGAGTTGAGAAGCATTCGAGAGTGAATTGAGAGATTTGGAGGTCACCGGGAGGTTCACGATGAAGTTTTGACGACAAGAGAGCTCTAGGAATGGCTACGGGATCAAAATAAGATGAATGGAGCTTGAAATCGGCGATCAGGATGACCTTCTGTCAATCGTTCAAGCATATCTCTTTGTAGAAACATTCAATATACACGATTCAAAATCAATATGAAAGAAAACTTCAAGGGATACAAATCATATGAAGACACCATTGCGAGAATCTGAGAGGAAGAAGATGAAAACAGACGATGAAGTCAGATGATCCCTGTTGCGATTTCAGAATCAGACCTTCCACCATTTTGATCGTATCGCTTGATTAGATGATTCAAATCCAATTCCGCAAGTTGTGGTGGATAGAGAAATTCATTATCTACAACTTTCATGAAGTAAATATTTCCAAATTCGGAAGTTAAGTAGACACGGTCGTGCCCTCAAAGTTAGGAATGAGCTACTAGAACCCAGGCACGGTCGTGCCTGGCAGGCAGGCACGTCGTGCCTAAAGAGAAACGAGGAACGAGCTACTGGAGGCCAGGCATGGTCGTGCCTGGCAGTTAGGCACGCCGTTCCTGGATGCGTTTAAACGGAATGCTTCTGTAGGCACAGTCGCAGGCACGGTTGTGCCTGGCGCCGTGCCTGACCCCTTTTTGTCCTAATTCAGCCCAAAATTGCCTTGTTTCCTATAAATAACATCCTCATAACCCTAATAAGGGGGGATGGAACTTATTTAGCAGCTTAAGGACGAATTTTGAGAGCTTTTCAAGCCTTGTTTTTCTATTCTTTGAGATTCTTTGTAAGTTCCTACTTTTTGATTAATGACAATTAATTCTATTCTTCCCAATTCCGTTGATTCTTCAATTATGAATTGCGAGTAGTTTTAATTAGGGATTTGGGGTTGATGAAGGGGTTTATAATGATGTATGGTTAGGTTCTTGATGGTGTAAATTGCATGAATGTCGTTGAATTTGTGTTTGAATAATTTAATTGATATCTTTTGTAACCTAGAATGGCCACTAGAATTACATCGCATGTAGGATGAATTAAGAGAGATCTAATTTGTTCTAGGACACATTCACACACACTTAATCGTTCGCTAAGAGATTAGTAGCGATTAAGGGGCCGTAAGCTCGTTCGTTTTGGCAATAATTTAGGATCCTATCGCATGAGAGATCAGCCCGGTCCCGTAAATTATTGTACTCTACGCCGCGAGAGCGGTTAGAACTTAGTATTGATTGCTAGGCTCAATTAAATTAAATTAATGTAATTAAGCTTGATCTGCCAGAAATCTGATTACCCCGGAATCAATCCCTGTTCCTTCGTCGTTAATTAAGAAGAACCCAAATCTTTACTTTTATTCGCTCATTCGCATTAGTTTAATTTCAATTCAACCAATCAATCTCGCACGACGCATTTATTTAATTTTATTTCTTTTTAATCGCTGAATTTAGTTAATCTTTAATTCCCTTTTGTCCGTCCATGTGGAGACGATACTCGTACTTTCACCACTATTCTACAATCTTTTTAAGTGCGAGAAAACTCACATCAGTCTCTCCTATTTACTTGTACACCGGTTACATTATATTATGTCTCCATCTAATGTATAGGCCGGGACACTTTCTTGAAACAAGTATAGAGCTAAGAACAAGAAGAGACTGTGATATTTATCATATCACGAAAAAGTGTGAATTAGTCACTTCTCACCGAAATAAGCATACAACAATCCCACTCACCACGAGAAATTTTGAGTCAGCAAGCCGTTAAAACAGGTGACTACACTAAAATATCTCTCTCATATTTACATGTCCACACCGGTTGTATTGCCTCTTCACTCAATTTACAGAGGAGGTGTTGTGAAGAATGTATGGAGCTAAGAAGAAGAATACTCTATGAGATATATCATGTCAGGAGAAAGTGAGAACTAGTCACCTCTCATAGAAACGCACATACAACTATCCTACTCGCCTTGTTCAAGTTGAAAACTATTACTATGAAGAAAGGCCCTATTACATCTATGATCATACCGCATGTAACAATGTTGTAAGTAAGCCTATCAATGGGTCATATATGGTCCGAAATTGTATTTTAGATCCATACCTGGTTTCGAACCGGGTCCACCGACCATAGTTTGACTACAAATATTCTTATGTCCATATCGGATTGCATTAGGGGTCCAAGTCAAATTACTTCAAATATTGGAAGCATGGGGTCGGGGGTAAAAGCTGGTGACGTAGTTGTACACCAATTGGTTGGGAAGCTTCAAGTCAGTTAACCATTAATCCTAAACCCCTAACCCTAAAGCCCGTACCCCAAACACTAAACACTAAACCCTAACCCTCAACCCTGAACCTTTAAACCGTAACCCTCAACCCCGAAGCCTTAATCCTAACCCTCAACCCCGAACCCTAACCCTAAAGCAGTTAACCACTAAAACAGTTGGTACACTACAATCGATCTTTTAGATTTAACTTTACACAAGGTTACATTATCTTTTCACTTGATGTATCATGGAATGTTTTTGAAGAGCCTATGGAGTTAAGACCACGTCTCTAAGACTGCACGAAAGCTCGCTCTCACCCAACCCATGCACCCGACAAAACAATGGACAAATATCCTTTTCGCACGGCCAAATACTATTTTACACATTTCTTGTAGACAACAATTAAGAAGCGTGTACAAAGTATGTGTACACTTTATTTAAAAAATTGGTTTTGAATATTGCTTCCTCCATCCCATTTTACGTACTTTATCTTTTGAATTGTTCCAAAATAAAATTCATTTTTTGAAAATAAAAACATGATCTATTGCATTTCATTTTATTATACACAAATTTTAATGGAAATTTCCTTAAACAGGAATATATAAAAATGTAATTGCAACAATAGAAGTTTAAAGTTTAAATTGTCAAAATAGAACTAAATCTTCCTATTCTACCGTTTCTATGGATGCCAAAGAGCTTTTACTGCGTTTTACAAATAAAACTATATAAAAATATCTAGAAGGGAGGAAAATGAACAACATATGAATTTGAAAGATGAATATAAGTTTCATACAAACGAAATCATTAAATACTCAAACTATGAATTTGAAAGTGTTCCACAATCACAAATTAGAAAAAAACTCCTAGAAATTAAAACATGAAATCACTTCAGAACCTAAAGTACTTAAGCTAAAGTGCGTCACGGTAAGAATTAGAGACCAGCAATCTCATTCTTTCTCTTAAGCTCAATCCAATGTTGAATTGCCTTTTCTTCAACACTTGCTTTCAATTCATTGAAAGGATGGCTAATCAATTCAATAGCAATGCGCATCCTTGAATCGGGTCCAACCTATATAAGAAATAACCACATTAGTGATACATACATACAAACTCTCTGACGTATACGTCAATCATTATCTTATTTTTTCCATTAAAAATCAAAAGGATAATCTAAAGTGCTTACAAACACTTTTTCATAATCATCACTGAATGTGCATTCAATCATCCATTGAGCAACCCACACTCCACAGTCGTTACTTGTATAAAATAAACAACAAAGTTCATATTGTTAGTTGAATATGTTCAGGTTGATGAATTAGTTAATAAATATAATTAACTCAACGTAATAATACATATGATCACAATTTTTGATGAGGGACTCCTGTTGGCACAACCAAAGTGAATGCCGATACATCATATTTGTATTTCATAAGTTTATCATCAACTAAAATGTCCACAAACACATCCTCCAGAAAAAGAGCCTATAACATTAAAAACGTGATATTTCAAACATGAGAAAATGAATAATTTTGTGAGAGTAAAACTCAATTACATACCAGTTTCTTAACAGAGCGACATCTATATTCATTTCTTTCTTTTGATGGATATGAGTCCAACAATATCAATTTTCTTTTGTCAACATCAACAATCAACAAATACCTATGAACATTTAGGTCATTCATTGGAATAACTATCTGCAGGCATTAAAGAGTATAGATTTTTGTAATTGAAGATTATACGTTAATAAAAACTATAAAATTTACAACCTAATCTTATACAAAATTACCTTTGTTAAGTAGTCAACTTTGCCCATGAATTCACTTTGATAAAAGCCTTTCACAGCTTCATAATCTCAGACAGATGTGAGTTGCTGCAACAGGCCACCCATAGAACCAAATTGTATATCCAGTTTCATTTATAACTTAGAGTATAAACATAACATATAACTATACATACGGAAAACATGGTTGGCATGAACCACATAGTTGAATGTGGTGCAAAGTGAGTGTCCTCATATTTGAGTCTACAAGCCAATAGATTCAGAATCTACGTAAAAGAGTTAAAAAAATCAAAAACAGAGTCATTGAGCTCCACATAATATACACAGTAATTGAAAATATGCCTAGCTTTCATATATAATTAATATGATCAAAGTTTGATCTTTACACATATCATTTAAAGACGAAAAAGTGACATATATGCTTAACCTCTTGGTCTAGCCAACCCTTTGGCATGAGGGTCTTCAGTGCTTTCCTATCTCCGCTCCCATACTTCATCCTAATTAAAATCTCACTCCTACAACAACACATCAGTTCACATTAAAATGCTTTTATATAGTCTATTAATTTAAAGCAAACGACATACCCAAGTTTGTTATCATCATCACTCCTAAAAATATATGATATCAAAGCAGCTTCTGTCTCTTCCAGATTCATATCAGCTGGGGGATTAAAGGATATAGGGACCCACTACAAGAAAATGAGTGAATAGGTTAGTAGAAAAAATTAAAACTAAAAGCTATAATACTAGGTAGCTAGAGTGAAGTACTTTGACATACTTTTGGTATAACAAAACGAGTAGAGGTTCTGTCATTAAGAAGCACAGGCAACGGTTTAAAGTTGACGTAGAAATCACTATTGTCGCATTCTTCAAATTTAGAGAATAAATTCTTTTTCATATGAGTCTCATGACGGCTTCTTTCATGTCTTTCGGCTTTGTAAGGAATTGTTAGTTTGCACTGGGTTTGAAGGGCAGTTCCATACATGTTTTGAAAGGATGAAGCATTGGAGGTGTTGGATTGGTGGTCAAAACATGAAGACCAGAAGGACTTATGTCAAAACAAAGGTTGGGATTGTGGGTGATGATCGTGTTGACAACGTTACTAAATGCAGCTTTAATGTCTTCGAACCCATTGATACACTCAATTGGTGTTGATGCTTGTGACGTGCTATCGACTTCATCTTCTTCAACTTTCTTGATAGAGCAGAGATTCTTGATCGGGATTTTGGGACAACTTCAGTTTAATTAAAATCACAAAACAACAAGGTAAAATAAAGTATAATCAATAAATAAGCATTTTATTATGTAGAAACTAGCAACTGGAATTAATTATTAATTTAACCTCGAAGAAATATCTATTATTTCTATAAGCGAATGTAGTTTTTGGCTACGGATGCCTTGTTGACCTCTTCTACGGATGAAATCCCCATTGCTTGAGTGGTTCCCATTTCCAGAAACAGCGATTGGAATACTTGATGCCTTGCTTCGTTGCTTCATTGTTTTGTTTTTAGATTGCATAGTCTTACGATGCCCTGCCATTGATGCCCTGCCATTGATGAAGGTTGACGGTTTGTACATGCTGTATTTCAGTTTTATAATCGATTGAGAAGCTAGAAAATGGGATCCTGAAAAGTTGGCAAAGGTGCAAATTGGGGTTTTATTCTCAACTCTCGTACACTACCAAGTGACGTGCTAAGCTTAAAAGTCCACTACACCTAATTAAGGAGTTATTCTCTTCAACTGATCTGAATGTTTTTTATCTAAATTTTTTAAGTTGTGATATGATCTGATTTGAATTTTTCTGATTTGATCTAATCTGAATCTTTCTCTTCTGACATGAATCTTTCCGATCTGGTCTGATCAGATCTAAATCTTTCTAGTTTGATATGTATCTTTCTGATCTGATTTAAATATTTCTATAATTATAATTCTAATTATAATCATAATTATATATTTTGTTTATATGATTGTGATTATAATTGGAATTATAATTATAGAAATATTTAAATCAGATCAGATCAGAAAGATACAGATCAGATAATTATAATTAAATTAAAAATATATTAATTAAAAATAAATAAAAAAATTGTCAGCTATTGTAAAATGTCACATTTTTTCCGAAAATGCCATGAAGTTGACATTTTATTTTTTGAAAATATCCAGCATTCTTTTCAAAATTGCCATCACGATAACATTTTTTCCAACTTGGCAATCTTTTCCGGCGATCGGAGGTGGTGGGGCTGAAAGGTGGCTAAGGTGGTGGTTGAGATCTGTACATTATTATTTATTTCTTACGATTTTTATTTTTTTATTTTATTTTTTTATGTTTTATAATGATTATTTAAAAAATCCTATTATGAAAGGCAAGGCCAGTGAAACGGTAGAATAGGAAGATTTAGTTCTATTTTGACAATTTAAACTTTAAACTTCTATTGTTGCAATTACATTTTTATTGATTCCTATTTAAGGAAATTTCCATTAAAATTTGTGTATAATAAAATGAAATGCAATAGATCATGTTTTTATTTTCAAAAAATGAATTTTATTTTGGAACAATTCAAAACATAAAGTATGTAAAATGGGATGGAGGAAGCAATATTCAAAACAAATTTTTCAAATAAAGTGTACACATACTTTGTACACGCTTCTTAATTGTTGTCTACAAGAAACATGTAAAATAGTTTTTGGTCGTGCGAAAAAGATATTTGTCCATTGTTTTGTCGTGTGCGTGGGTTGGGTGAGAGCGAGCTTTCGTGCAGTCTTAGAGACGTGGTCTTAACTCCATAGACTCTTCAAAAACATTCCATGATACATCAAGTGAAAAGATAATGTAACCTTGTGTAAAGTTAAATCTAAAAGATCGATTTTAGTGTACCAAACTGTTTTAGTGGTTAACTGCTTTAGGGTTAGGGTTCGGGGTTGAGGGTTAGGATTAAGGCTTTGGGGTTGAGGGTTACGGTTTAAAGGTTCGGGGTTGAGGGTTAGGGTGTAGTGTTTAATGTTTGGGGTACGGGCTTTAGGGTCAGGGGTTTAGGATTAATGGTTAACTCACTCGAAGCTTCCCAACCAATTGGTGTACAACTACGTCACCAACTTTTACTCCCGACCCCATGCTTCCAATATTAGAAGTAATTTGACTTGGGCCCCTAATGCAATCCGATATGGACATAAAAATATTTGTAGTCAAACTAGGGTCGGTGGACCCGGTCCGAAACCAGGTATGGATCTAAAATACAATTTCGGACCATATCTGACCCATTGATAGGCCTACTTACAACATTGTTACATGCGGTATGATCATAGATGTAATAGGACCTTTCTTCATAGTAATAGTTTTCAACTTGAACAAGGCGAGTAGGATAGTTGTATGTGCGTTTCTATGAGAGGTGACTAGTTCTCACTTCCTCCTGACATGATATATCTCATAGAGTATTCTTCTTCTTAGCTCCATACATTCTTCACAACACCTCCTCTGTACATTGAGTGAAGAGGCAATACAACCGGTGTGGACATGTAAGTATGAGAGAGATATTTTAGTGTAGTCACCTATTTTAATGGCTTGCTGACTCAAAGTTTCTCGTGGTGAGTGGGACTGTTGTATGCTTATTTCGGTGAGAAGTGACTAATTCACACTTTTTCGTGATATGATAAATATCACAGTCTCTTCTTGTTCTTAGCTCTATACTTGTTTCAAGAAAGTGCCCCGGCCTATACATTAGATGGAGACATAATATAATGTAACCGGTGTACAAGTAAATAAGAGAGACCTAGTCTAGTGTAGTCAAATGTTTTAGTAGTTAGCTTAATCGAAGCTTCTCTTGGTGAGTAGGATACTTGTATGTTTGTTTTGGTGAGAAGTGAATCGTTCACACTTTCTTGTGATATGAATATAACTCTTACTCTTCTTGTTATTAGCTCCATACTTTTTTCATATTTTAAAATGTGCACACGGGTTTCTTACCCAATATGAAAATTATATCAAAATGTTCCTTATTCAAAATATTTAATAAAAGTATAAAATTTATAAATTATATACAAATATAATAAATAAAATCATTGTCCAAAGTTTGCCATCATTGACCAAGAAAAGTCAATATGGCAAACCTATTCGGGACGGAGGTAGTATGTCCTTTAACTTGCTGCATTTAGAGCTAAAAATTGCTGCATAGGGAGCCTTAATATACCCTTGAACTTGCTGCATTTACTACTTAAAATATGACCTATACATTCCAGCAATTAAAGCTTCAACTTGCTGTCCATTTATAGGCTTAATATGCCCTTGAAGTTCCTGCATTTACAGCCCCCAAATCTGGCCATTACAGGCACATAAACTGTGTTCAGAACACACAAAGACAGCAGCAAAAACATGCATAATACGTGATTGTAAAGCTGACTAAATCAAACTTAATAGCAATCACACTGACATTAAAAAGTAAGTTTATCTACGAATATGTTCCAAGAACAACACCACACAAGTACATGCTTCACAAGCACTGCTAAGGTTAAACAAATTACAAAAAAGCAGTACAACTTTGGGGTTTCACAATGACATCAATAGGACTACGAAGCACAAAAGGCCCAGATGACTGCATTAGGTTGTTGGGGCTTCAGTTGGACTTCTTTTTTTCTTCCTTTGATTGGCAGACACTTCTTTCACTCTCTTATTTCTCTTTCGATGGCCCTTCAGTAGCTTCCCGCTCTCTTTTCTTCTTGGATCTGCCAGACAACGTTTTGGGAATTGGAGGCACAATGTCATTGTTTTGTGTTCTAGTCCACAATAACTCCTCATTCATCAGCTGCAGATGATACGAATATATTGTTTGATAAACTTGTTTGAAATAGCAATGATCCACATATTGTTCAGCATCCTCACCTTTATCGAAAATTGCACACACGACATGCGGACAAGGAATCCCACTTAGATCCCACGCTCTACATGAACACGTGCTTGCGTGTAGTCTGACTTTATATTGATGGCTCCCACATTTGACATCATATCCATCATCACCATTAAAAATGATCTGTTATGAAAATGCTTAAATTAATAAGGAATCACGTATATAAAAATACACCAAATTACTCTACACATTAACCTTCCATCCCATGCTTTGATCTATGTTAGCATTTAACTTCTTCAATATCCGGGGTCCAAGGTTGCTTGTCCACCTATTGCAAAACTTGACCTTTTTAGATAACTTTATGTAATGGTTTTAATATAGTACATGCCCTTGTTTGACCAGTTTCTCATGTATATATGACCTATATTGTTTATTACGTATGAAATTATATGGTTTTTCAATAATTAGCATCCTTATGAATGCTTTGGCTCTTGAACTTAAGTCATTGTGCAGTCTCCACGGATCTATTAAGTCTTTCATGTAAACAGATGCCTTGTCAAAGCATCCGTGTTAACTTTTATATGGAGAAAACAATCATGAATACGGATTGATCACAAGCATAATAAATAAGGAGGTTCTATAGGATTTAGAATCAAGAGTATAACCTTATTTTAATGTCACTTAGGCTCAGTTTGATTGCAGGAAAAAAAACTCGGTTGGCAATTCTGTTTGGTCTATTTAACTTAGTCTGTTCGTTATTTAATAATGAAAATAGAAAAACTGAATTGAATTACTTAAGTTGATTCTGATTACTTTTTGAGGGATTTGTTTGTTTTCACTTGGTTTTGATACTTTTTCGACAACTTTTAAAGACTAGACCTATGACTTATCGCAAACTCAAACATCTATGGTCTAACACAAACAGTATGTATCGCTTCATTTATTAATTCACTGTATTGGTAAAGAAAAAGAAACACATATTTAACCTAACAGGTGTTTATGTTTTGAAAGTGGATTCAATTTGAACTAATGCCAATTTGTCATTTCACTATATGTCAGATTGTCAATAATCAATTTTGATTATAAGAAAGAAACGGCAGTTCAAAAGGATACAGTCAGAACTTTGTTTTGTTAAAAGCTTTAAACATTGTTAGATTAAAAATTGAGAATACCAAAACAGAAAGGTCAAACATCAATGTCCATTTAAAACAATTCACTTTAATGCAGCAATATAAAATTCTGGGGTTGATCCTACACGTTTACAAACACACTCAAACATTATGAAAACAAATATACAAGTAGAAGTATGGAACAGATAAGGGTATAAAGACAAAAAAATTAGATCAAGGATGGACTGATGGTTGTCAGTGAAAATATCTTGAGCACCATCATTAAAGGAAAAAAATGCAGCAAATGAACTTCAAAATAATTTGGACTATAGCCTGGAAGAAGAAACCAAAGAAAACCAACCTTGACAACAGTTTCACTAAACCAGGAGATAAGGCCATATTTGTTCAGATAATCAGCCATTGCAATGAGAGCAGCAAACCAGGTAAGAGTATCCCAAGCAACTGATTCAGCTAAGCATTCCTTCCAAGTGACAACTCCAGTCACCATGAGGATAGATAATCCAATTATTGCAGCAGTCACAGCATCAACTTTTAATACACCACCAAAAACCCAGAGTCCAACCTAATAAAAGGAACAAAGAAAAGTGAATTCATAAAACATGAGTTGGGTTTAGCTTCATCATACAAAAACCATACAACAGGAACAGAACTACCACTCAATTCATCTAGTTAGAAGCTCCACATTCCAGCTATGTTTCTTGCAAAGAGATAAAATTGAGTAAATGGATTTCCTAAGAAGTAAGTAAAATTTATCGAGCCTCAAGCCGTCAATCCCAACCCTTTCATGTTTCAGAGAGGCGAGAAAAACAGATAAATAATTCAAGGTAAGAAAAAATATGGTCGTCGGCTATTTCAGATTGACTCAGTAGCCATACCTCGATCAGCCTCAACGCTATGAATCGGACGGGGGCGCTGCAGGAAGCTAAGTGCTTGACGAGGGCCGGGCCGAGAGCAACGGCGTCGAGGATGAGACTTTCAGGTCTGGGTTTGAACTCTCTAGATTGCTTCTGCTACGAGTTGAAGATTTACGGATCGTTCAAACTACTGATTGGGAGATCAAATATGATTTCTGTGGAGATCAAAAAATTCCGGGAACCGCCCTAAATGGCGAGTACCGGACATAGCTTTCTATATAAAGGGTGATTTGCACTTTTTAAGTTAATTCGAGGGTTTATTTGACCCTTTAGCCATAAATAAATAAAGCAATCTGTTGAACAGAAGAGTTAACATGGTGAATGAGAAAAAACTCTATCCTCCTCCATAACGTAAACATATTGTAAGGAGGAAACTTTTAAAATTGACAGAATGAAACATTTTTAGATATTATAATGCCAGAATTTCGACAATCAAGGACGGATTTAGAAAGAGTTCTATTCTTCATTTTTTGAAAACACAAGTTTGACTTATGTAACCATACGAGTAGAATGTTGTTGGGAAAATGTGTTAAAAATTGCATTAAATGATCATTTTAGGACAATTATTTGAGTGGGGTCCACTTCCGATTTGGGTTGGGTCAAAGTGGTTTCGGATTGTCCTTGTTAAGGGCTACAATTCGATATATGGTACACTCAAAACGGATAACGGGTGAATGAGAAATTGATTCTCGAAGTTCACTCGTTGGAATGGGAAAACTGGGGAAAAGGATGGGTTTCTAGTGTGATTTATCCCGCACCGGAAAACCCAATGGATTTTCACCCCTTTATAAAGGGAACCCACCTAGAAGGAGTTAATATTCCTTTGGGGAAGGCTCTCTTCACGCGCAGGGGGTGCCGATCAAATACCGAAAACGGAGAAGAAAAACCGCGACTCATGTGCGCGGGCGACCTGCGGACACGAATGTCGTCTGAAAATCTATCATTCAAAGATACGATTTAATTTTTGTTTCTTCCCGTAACATTTATTTTTCCCAGAACCAGAGATGCTCAACGGCAGAACTGCTCCGCACCAGAATACCTCAGAGGGTCTCTATTGGCTTTTTCACCAGAATACCTCAGAGGGTCTCTAACGCCTTAGAGGTATTCTGTTGGCTTCGGACAAAACTGCTCCGGACCAGAGAGCGAGGGTCTCTGTTGGCTTCGGACAGAACTGCTCCGGACCAGAGAGCGAGGGTCTCTGTTGGCTTCGGACAGAACTGCTCCGGACCAGAGAGCGAGGGTCTCTGTTGGCTCCAGACCAGAGAAGCCCTGGGGGTGTTCTGGTCGCGCAATTATGCCGTTACGAAGGTTAATGCCCAACGTTCTTATCTTTTAATGTTGCGTTAAATGGACAATTTATGGATGATTCAATGTCCAACAGACTGATCATTGATGTCCAACGTTCAGGTGCATTAACACTCCATTTAACACACAATAAATCCTCTTATAAATAGCTGACAGGTGGTTTGCAACAACACATGAAATCAAACAATATCTGCACGTATTTTGAGCTCTAAAAACACCCCCAGCTACTCCAAAAATTCCTGAGTGATCAGCCTTTGTTCCAGTTCGCCGGGACTTTCGTTTGTGTGCTCAAACGTTAGTTCGTTAGCCACCGTATCCTGGGAAACGGTCGTTGCAACGCTCCTAGCACCGTGGGAGGCGACAAAACGTTTTAAGAACATCGTGCGTAGCAAGAGCTCTGGCTAAATTATGTTTCATCTAATTTCTGTTTTTCTTTAGTCATTTAATTAATTAATTTTGATTAATTATTTTCTTTGTTTTTCGAAACACACCCAACAAATGTGATTCTAAATTTCATTTGTAGTAGTATGGGGCGTAAGTGTTATGATGAGGTTAAAATTTAGTATTGTCTTTCATTTTCATAATTCTAAGCAAAGAGCACTACAAAAAACACGCCTGTAGTCACGAATTTAGTCACGGACCGCAGTGAAAAAATTTGTGACTAACTCTGTTAGTCACGGAACGATCCGTGACTAAGTTTTCAAATTTTCAAAAACCCTACGATTCAAATTTTCAAATTTTGTATTAGTCACGGAAATGAATCCGTGACTATTCTTTTTTTTAAATAAATTTTAAATTTATAATATAATTCCGGACAAAATATTAGTCACGGTTCATATCCGTGGCTAAAGTTTTTGTTTTTTTTAAAATGTTTTTCCATTTAAAAAAATCATTTTAATTTTTCTTAAAAAAATAGTTGTTAAAAATATTTCAAAAATTTATCAAGAAAAAGATTATATTTTAAAAAGTAAAGCAATTATAACATTAAATAAAAAACAAAATTCATAAACATACAACAAACTTAACAAAAGTTATTACAGACTGGAATTACAAAAGTAATATAAAATGTTAAACTTAAAAATGTATTATTACATGCCCGGTCGTTGGACTTCATTATGATAAAAACTAGGATCATCATTATCATATGCATCATTATCATCATAAACAAGATAATCATCCTCTTCTGGCTCCACGGGGTCTTCGGGTCAGGTACCTCCTCGGCTGCCTCCTCCACTGCCTCCTCGGCTGGCTCCTCAGCTGCCTCCTCCGGATGACTGAAATTGATTCAAGAAATCATATGACAGAGATCCGAATGTCGATCTCATCGTAGGCATGCTATCTGATAGTCCTTGTTTCTGTAACAACAATGAATAACGATCTAACAACAAAGATTAAACGTAAGGATGAACACAGATTGAATCAATGTAAAACCCTCTTTGATAGACCGTGAACTCGTACAACAGAAAGATATGCGCGTAAGGCTATAGTGAATAAGTACGACGTTAACCTAATCCTAAACCCTCGGCTCCCTTTTTATAGGCGAGGTTTAGGTTAGGCGTACAAGGCTTTTAGCCTGGTTATATGGGCCTAACACTTGGCCCACATTCTATTTAATACATGCACTAATTCAATACAAGGATTAATAATAAAGCTAATCTATGACAAACTTGATTCACAATTAAAATATCTCCAACAATCTCCCCCTTTGTGATCAAGTGCCATTTTGTTATTGCTTCTGCGACTTGAAGTAGTGTTTCCTCATATTTAGTGCATGCTCATATTGCATCAGCATATTTCTCTTTTCTAGGCGATCGTCAATGGCCTTTAAAATTGTCTCTACTGTAGAGTGTTCCTTTTGAACATATGACGATGCCTCCTGAAGATTTTCCTCTAGTTGTGCCTTCATCTTTAGAAGCTGTTCTTTGATTATCTTCAGCGTTCCGTCACAGTATTTCTCAATTTCATTGACTACCATCAGACGTTTTTCGTTCTTGTGGTTCAGATAAGTGACTGCTGGCGGTGTGAAGAAGATGTGGTAAGCTGGGAAGTCTTCGAGTTCTGGACCATACAGTCTTGGCTTTGTCAGATTTGTCTTTGTCAGGTTGCACTCAATAGCCATCTGTAGGTCATGTGAAGAATGTACTCTGATCTGTCTGAGCATGAATCTCTTGATTGCTGCAAGACCTTCGTTGTATGTTTTGCTCTGCCTGACTGGAAGGTATCGATAGGCCATGAACATTTGATAGATGTCGTCGGGTTTAAGCATGATGAAATCATTCTCTTGGCAAGTAAATTCACTCCCGTCAGTGCGTTGAAGCCTGTAAGTATAGAATGTCACTCCGTGATAATCTTCAGCCTTCACTTGTAGAATTTGATGAATCGGGAGAATGTTGGACTTCAAGTCTTGTTCCATCAACTCTCTCTGAGTACCGGTTGACCTTTGTAATAGCATATGCAGATGACCTCCAGCCTGCTTTCCTTTTAGATGGGTAAGGCCTCTTAGCTTCAGTTCATTCAACGGTTTGACTTTGTCTGGTCTACGCCAGATATGCTCTCTGATTTCCTCTTGGAACGGGGCTTTGATTCGAACGTTGTCCCAGGGTTTCTCTGTCTTGGGAAGTCTTCCCGCTGATTGTCTTACGACGGATTCAAGAGTTTTCTGGGATTCCTTGGAGTTCTCCCCTTCCTTGCGTTCATCGTCCTCGAGCCTGATGATATCTTCAGTACATTTGTTGATTAGCTCTCGTAGCCACCGATTTCTCTGCATGTCCTCTACTTCAGCCTCATTGCGGAGATCATCCCATTATGTCCATTGTCTTGGCCATTTATCATATATCACCGCCTCCTCCAGTGCATCGTGGATGTCCTTGCCTGGGGAAATGTATGGAACTCTTTGCTGCTGTTGAGGCGGTGATTGTTCCTGGGTAGCACAACCGGGTTCACTTGGATTGCCCGTTGACATCAGTTTAGAACTAGGTTCTAACTGATGGCCTGATGTAAAAGATGTACCAGTGGTAGCATCATCAGGACTTCCATCCCCTCCTCGGTTGGTATCTCTGGGAGATACGCCTCGGGATGTTACTTCTAGCTCGACCAGGCTAGATATTTTGGCTGTGGGTGGTGGCTGTTGGTTTGTAGAGGTTTCGGGTTGGATGGGCTGTGGAGTTTGGCTTGGTAAAGTAGTTTGCTCAAGTGATCGAGGTCGTTTGTTCTCCCCCTCATGAGGATCCGAATCATCAGGGTCCTCATGGGAACGTTTGCGACCACGAGGACTCTCCTTGCACTTGCTCTTGGTTTCTGGGGAAGAAAGGAGGGCTTCAAGTATGGCTTGCTGGTGACGGGTAAGTTTGGCTTCGGGGATGTTAAGAAGGTTGTCCAGCAAAGCCGATGCAAGGGTGTCGAAGGATAGTGAGGAGAGATCGATGGAGGGTGTGGTCGGGTGTGGGGAGAATACTAGTTCTGTATCCTGGGTTCCCCGAGAATGTGAAGGGACAGGTATTTGGTTAATGGATTGGTGAGATAGAAGGGTGGAGGATACGGGTTGTGTATGGGAGATGAACGGTTCAGGTGAAGGTTGGGGTGGGGTTTGTTCAGACCGAACCGCTTGGGTGGTCCTAAATTCCTGTGCTAGAGCGGTCATTGCATCTTGCACCCATGGTTTAATGGTGGAATCTAGGAAGCGATTTAGTAGAACGTTTACGTCTTCAAAGGTTGGGTGACCAGTTACGGGGGTTGTAACTGTTGTCACATCATCAGTGAAGATTGCTGATGTGTGGCCTGCGTACAATGATGGAATCATTGAGGGCGTAGCAGGGCTTCCAACCGTCATAGCTTGCGCTCTGGTTGTTGCGTTCAGGGTGTGTGCACCTGTATG